ACGGGTAGCTTGTTCAAGCCTAAATAGAGTTGTATGAGCAAACAGCACCCTCAAGAATAATTTCTCAGAGACTTGGCTATTCCGAAATGGAATACAGGGGTGAGTTTGTGTGTCTCAGGGGGAGAGTACACAAGTATATTATTACCTTTCAATATGGATATAGTTTTGGGAAATGACTTGGGGTCCATACACAACAATATACATAATTTTTTATAAGCAAATATAAGCAATGCATTATATTTGTATATATTACTTAATCTCATATGATATCAATGCCTCAAAGCACTGAATGCCATTTGAATTATTACCTTCTCAGTTCAAGTTTATTGCTTTTGGACCTGAATCAAAGTCGGTCAGATATTGGATGTTCAGATCAAAGGTCTCCATTAATCCAAACCTTGTCAATTGGTCACCAGTTTTGTGTGTGTGTTTACCAGATGGTTGTTCTGCCCAATCACCATCAGAAATGGTGCTCTCATTTCTCTTCCTTCCGCTTATTTGCTTGCTTGGTACACCCTTTTCCTTTGGCCTTGGATCCATATCCGTTAGTGACAGTACAACCGAATTGGCATCTCCTCCACTCTCGTGCTTGGATTTCTTCTCTTCCTTTTGCCCTGAGCTCTCAGATGATGTGAAGGAGCTTTCCAGTGAACATCCTGTGCCTCCCACTGGATTCTTTTCCGAATATTTTAAGCTCGAGCATCTAATATCTTTTTGTACCGATAACGAAGAACTTAGGCATCCATTGTTAACCATTGAAACCAACTGATATAATTCAGCTTTTGCAAGTTCCACTCCAACTGAAGAAGAATCATTTCAGTACTTGGAATGGCTTCATCCAGAAACACCACTATTACTAATACTGGTATTCCTTTTCTTTTCCTTTGTGTTTTCCTTGCCCAAGTTGGCCTCTGTTATTCTGCTAAGGTGTGGATATAGATATGATATTTTCACTCAACTTCTTCGTTTTTGTTTTTTTGTTTTCGGATTTATGTTACTGGGCCAAGCTTTGTCTCGTGCGCAGGTCTGTGGTCTATATGGGAAGCACAGATGGTCATGACCCAGATGAGATTTTGATGCAGAACCACCAATTCCTCACTGATTTTCATGGTGGAAGGTCCACCCAATGTTCCTTTTTTCTCTTTTTTTTTCTTTTTTTTCAACTGTACACCACCATGTTTTCACACTCCTTTTTTTTTTTTGTGTGGTTTGATGTTATTGTTGTGTTCCCCTTCTTGTTCTTATTGAGGATTGTTTGGTTGTGCTGATTGAATCATTCAATTGGTGACACAGTGTTGAACAAGCCAGGGCATCTCATGTCTACAGTTACAGACATGGTTTCAGAGGCTTTGCAGCCAAGTTGACAGAGGACCAAGCTTCTGAAATTGCCAGTATGTCAATACAATAGTAGTATTTACTATTATCTTTACCATTTCTCATCATAATTGATTGATTTATATCCATGGCTCTGAAAAATCAATGTCATGGTTTTAAAAATTGAAACACAGAAGAAGTGGTTGGATCATACTATGAGTCTCCCTAGTTGTGATTGGATCTCCGATTAGAAAATTAGAAGGAAAATTGTAAAACACAAGACTTAAAAGGCCCGTTCGGGGGCCGAAATTGCGAAATGACCACCGGAACCACCAAACTTGGCATGGACGGATTTTTCAAGCCTAAATAGACTTGTAAGAACAAACGGGACCTCAACTGGATTTCCGGTTAAAAAATTAGAAGGAAAAATGTAAAACACAAGACTTAAAAGGCCCGTTCGAGGGCCGAAATTTCCAAATGACTACCGAAACCACCGAAACTTGACACGAACAGCTTGTTCAAGCCTAAGTAGACTTGTAGGAACAAACGGGACCTTAATTGGATTTCCGGTTAGAAAATTAGAAGAAAAAATGTAAAACACAAGACTTAAAAGGCCCGTTCGAGGGCCGAAATTTCGAAATGACTACCGAAACCACCGAAACTTGGCACGAACAGCTTGTTCAAGCCTAAGTAGACTTGTAGGAACAAACGGGACCTCAATTGGATTTCCGGTTAGAAAATTAGAAGAAAAAATGTAAAACACAAGACTTAAAAGGCCCGTTCGGAGGCCAAAATTGCAAAATGACCACTGAAACTACCGAAACTTGGCACGGGTAGTTTGTTCAAGCCTAAATACAGTTGTATGAGCAAACAGCACCCGATTGGACTTCCCGTTACAAAATTAAAATCAAAATTGTGAAGTTCATATCGAGGTTTTTTTTTTTTTTGTCAATCTAATATTGTTTTTTCTTTTTTCATGTGACAGATTGGCAATGGTGAAAAATAGTTTGGGCTGGATCAGAAGATTTGATTTTGTGTTTTTGAAAATATTTTGACATAGGATTTTGGTAAATGATTTATGGATTAAATGTTTAGCATCAAAATATTTGGTGTTGTGTTTTTGCAAATATTTTGACATAGGATTTTAGTAAATGACTTGTTGGTTAGATGTCTAACATCAAAATATTTGGTTTTAATTTTGAAAATATTTTGACATAGGATTTGGTAATGTATTTATGGGTTTGATGTTAGTAGTTTGTAAGTACTTTAGTATGCATGTTTTAGATTGTCAGAGAATTTAATTATGTTTATTGGGATTTTTCATAGCTATTAATTTTGAATTAGTATGAATGTCTTGCACAGGTGTATTATTATTTACATTACATTTGTGTATATATTGTGCACAGGAAAACAGGTGTTTTGGATTATTTTGAACAAGAAAATTATTAAAATCAAAATTTGTGTATTGAATTTTTAGTGACAGGTGGTATTTTGGTCGCTGTTAATATATTTGGCGACAAAATATTGTTTTTGTCGCTAAAAGTTAGTGGTTATTCCACGAACTTTTAGCAACCAAAACTTACTCGTCGCTAAAAACGTGATTTTTAGTGACCAAATTAATTTTGTCGTTAAATAGTACTTTTGGCGACGCATTTATTTGTCGCTAAAACTACATAGCCTATCCAAATTTTAACCTTTTAGCAACAAATTGTAATTTTATAGCGACAGAATATATGATTTTTGGCGACCAATTTTGCTTGTCGCTAAATGTCTAGATACGGTGACAATTTCTGATTTCGTCGCCAATACTTTTAGTGATAGGCCTTTGGCGACAAGTTATATATTTGTCGCCGATTCTTTTGGCGACGGAATTTGTACTTTTGGCGACAAATTTTTAGGTCGCCAAATGTGTTTTTTGTTGTAGTGTTAGCCTATCCGTAGCCTAGTGCTCTGTGAGTAACAATGTTGTAAAGATATGTTCAATTATGATTCTGAATGATCAACTATTCTGCTTACTGAATTGTTATTGTTTAATGAATGAATGTTTGTCCTACTTGTAAACTGTATCCATGGCATCCAGAGCAATTTACTGTTACTGTACTGTTACTGCTACTATCACAAAGATCTCTGTCAGTTCCCATGTTTGGAACCACTACTGTTTACTGTTATGATGGCCATCAACTGACTGTTCGGTCTGTTAAGACCTACTGTACTGTTTGCTATGGGATGCACCACATATGACTGTTATGGTTTCTAAGTGACTGATATGACTGTTTAATTACTGAAAAGGCATTCATTCTTAACCCCTTTACATAACTGTTATTCATTGGGTTTTAGCTCACTGTTTATATATATATGTAGGTGTCCAGGCACGGGACCGAAGCTAGGAGCGTCAGATTAGCTCTTGTTTTGTCAAGCCAACCACCGTGCCTCACCTCAAGGTTCGAAGCCCGTTCAAGCTACGGCTGTTTTGGGGTGTTCGGATTCACCCTTCTGTTTCTGTATTGTAATAGATGTTATAGACTCCTACTGTACAGTTATAGTTAGGGATTCGATCCCTGACATGGATGTTTGTGTATATGTTGCATATATATATGTTTTGATTGTCACTGTGGCATATTTATAAAAAGTCTTTTTGCATTCAGACTGGCACAGCTCATTGGACATCTTTTATTTACTGTTTTGGCTTCCACCAGCCCCTTTACTCTGTATTACTGGCATTACTGTTAAGCAGGCCTTCGGTAATCACGGATTACTGGCCGATTACAGTGCTAAACCTATAGAAGCGGGTTTGGGTCGTGACAGTTAGTTTGCCACTTCATCTCAATGTATTTAAAAAAAATGATGGTTAGACCATCTCCAACCATTCACCAAATCCATCATCAAATTCAAATTTGGTAAAAAATAGGTGTTTTTTGTGCTCCAACGGTTTCACCAAAACAGTATCAAAATGAGAAAATATCAAACGTTTCATCAAACTGAGGATAGCTTGCCCTTTTTACCAATTACTGTGCGTAGCTGTTGAGTTAGACCCATTGGACGACCGGCCGGATGTCCCCTCGGATGACCGCTTTAAGACAAAAATTTGTGAAAATTTACATTAACAGGTCGACCCACCGGTCGACCACCTCTGCATCTTTTTTGACTCCATTTCCATTTTCCCCTGAATCCATTTTCATCATGATCTCTTTCTCAATTCTTATCTCTGATCCACTTTATACCTCCAATTCCAATTCCATGAGTATAGGTTTGATCAGTTTATCATCATCTGCTGCGAAATCTTCAGGTCGAAATGAAGGGTTCCAAACAGCAACAGCCTTCTCTTCTTCTTTAACTTTCTTCTTCATCTTCTTTCTCTTGTTTTCTTCTTCTTATTATTATTATTTACAGATGAAGAAAATGGATGAAGAAAGGGAACAGAACAACAGAAATGAAGGCCAAAAAAATAAAAAATTTGCTCTTGCCGGTCGACCGGCCGATTGACCCCTCGACGTCCTGTGGTTTGATGAAAGCTCCATTGGAGCGTCTAATATCAAATAGATGAATTGGTAATATTTTTACTCAGATTTGGTGAAATGTTTGATTAACCGTTGGAGATGCTCTTAGTAGCGGTGTGTAAAATACAACTAAATCTGTTAAAATTGTACTGATTTGCATCAATCTGTACCGTTCTATTCACTAATCACGGTTTGAATTTTAAAATTTATAATATGCCTTCGAAACCGCACCGCTCTACTATAGTTAATACATATATATTTTTCAACTTATAATGAAATATCGAAGTAAAAATGAGTGTGAAATATATTTAATATGTGAAATTTATTACAAATTAATAGTTATATATATGAAAAATATTATATAAAATTAATTTATGTTATATATATGAAAAATATTATGCAAATTAGTATTATATATTATATAAAGACTTAATGATTGGTTAGAATATCCTTCAATTCGTTATTTCTCCCAAAGTTGTTCAAATATGAATTTATTTCGATTTATAATTTCATTCTCAAATCGCACTGCACATACTCCTAATGATCAATTGTGATTGGACATTTTTTGTGTATAAAGAAATTTAAACAAATTTTTTTTTTTTATTTTATAAAACAGTTAAAAAATTCATTTAAAAATAATAATAATTCTCAAACGAAGCTTAACGATAAACAGCCGCCACCATCCCTCTTTTTAATATATTTTTTTAACATAATGTTTGGAGAGAGATTCCATCACTGTTTGTGGATTATGTGTTGGTAGAGCAGGTGGTGCGACGGTCGTTGATTATATTATCCTCTACTACCCCTTTTCCACTAATGAAATTAAAAATGACAAAGTATTTAAACCTCAGTTTGGAACTGGGTTAATTTTTTGATTTTTTTGATTTTTTTTGACTATTTTAACTTGGGATTAAAAAGTCTATTTTGAAAAGGACTTTTTGACTT